TGGGCTGAAACGTAGGAGTATTTGTGAGGACGGTGTAGGACAGGACAGGGTTTCGTTCTGTTGTTCAGGGGGTCACTATGAGCCAGAGCCAACTCAACGACACCAAACAATAACAAGGTTGTGCACAGAACTTAGCTGTAACAGTAATAGAAATCTTTTCAATTTATTGATTTTTTTTTTTTTAAGTTTTATTATGGATTGAGTGAGGGTTTGCAGAGCAGCTCATCAGTTTTACATTTAACAATTCTTACACATTCTGTTTCATCTCACTGACTACAGTCCCCTTCAGGTAACATCACTTATGTCATTTTCTCCCTGTGTCTCCTGTTTCCATTCCTCCTTCTTTCCCAAGCCTTTTGAACTTTGTCCTTAGGTACATGCTGCCTCTTCGATCTCAAATGGTTGATGATTCTAAGGTGGGCATATTTCTCTAGGGTTATTGTTCCCCTTATGGGCATGTCTGTTGTGTGGCTGAAATTGAGCCCTGAGGTTGAGTTCAATTCCAGATCTGACGGGTGACCACGGGCCAGAATCTCACAAGTTCTCTGTCTAATATCATAAGCCTGGTATTTTTTAGGATTCTAAGATCTGTTGTACATTTCTATCTCCTCTCTCCAGGAGCTTCTAATGTGATCCCTTTCAGAGCAGTTGGGAGTGGCAGCCCCTTCTGGTCTCAGGGGGGTGGAGACTGATGGTCACATGTTCCATTGGACTGTTTCCTAAACATGGCCAGTTTTCATTGTTCTCCTTTCCTTCGCATGGAGGGACCAGTCGTTTCCCTTTAGATGGCTGGCTGCCCAGGATCTTTTAAGATCCCAGTTGCTACTTGCCAAAGTAGAATGTTGGACATTGACTTGGTGGACTATGTTATGCCAATTGACCATGGTGTCCCCTGAGATTAGGATCCTGAACCCCAGGTGCAATAACTCATTCCCTCAAGGCATTTTGGTCATGGTTAAGAAGTTTTCATAACTTTGCATCCCGTATGCTCCACCATCTTCATGTGTGTGTATATATGTATGTGTGTGTGTGTGTGCGTGTGTGAGAGTGTGTGTGCGCACAGCAGTAATAAATACCATGTGTAAATATCCTTTGTCAAACCTGTGTATGTCGGGGAGGTATATTCCCACTCTGTGTGTCCATTCATACATAAGCTTATAGACCACCGTTACCACAGGGTTGTATATATAACAGTGTTTACCTCTGTTGCCTTTCTTCCTCTATCTTCCCCTGCTTCCATCATTCTTTTGCCAACCTCCCGTACTAAAATATCTTTCTTCTGTAACCTATCGTTACTGCTATACTAGCCAGTTATTTTCCTCATTAAACATTTGCTGCCAAGTCAACCCTGATGTAGAGCAACCCCACCACGGTGTGTCAGAGGAGAACTGTGCTTCAGCGGGTTTCCAACAGGCCAGGTTTCAGAAGTAGATCACCAGGCCTTTCTTCTGAGGCCCCTCTGGGTAGACTTGGAATTGAGTGGACTTTCGATTAGCAGCTGAGAACATGAATGTTTTGCAACACCCAGGGACTCCGTTCTCCTCATTTGAAATCTCTTTTCTCATGTTTGTTTTTGTTGTTGTGTTGTTTTTTAATCGTGTTTTTTCAACCCATTTTGGATTTTGACCTTTCTCATGATGTTCTTTTGTTTGTTTGTTTTTATTGTGAATTGAGTGATCGTTTACATGGGAGAGCATCCGCTTTACATTCATCCTATCATATTTGATTTCTTTGGAATGATTACAATCCCCTCTGCTTCCAGCCAAGATCCATCTATCTAACACCAGCAATGATGTCCCTTGTTCCACGTCCTCATCTGAACTTGACTTGAACATTTGGCAGTTCCCTGTCAATGTATTGTTGTAGCCATTTCAATTATTTTGAGCAAAATTTTACTTTCATGTGATATTAAAGATATTGTCTGATTTCTGCATTCCACTGGGTCACCACTCTTTGGAATTGGCACAAATAGAGATCTCTTTCAGTCAATTGGCTAGGTAGCTGTCTTACAAATATCTTGGTGTAGATGAGTTAATGCCTCCAGTCCTGCAGTTTGTTAAAAGATTTCAATTTGTCATCAATTCCCGGTGCCTTGTTCGTTGCCAATGCCTTTAGTGCACCTTGGACAACTTCCTTCAGTACCATTGTCTCTTGATCATATGCTACCTCTTGAAATGATTGAATCTCAACCATGTCTTTTTGATACAGTGATGCTGTGTATTCCTTCCATGTTCTTTGATGCTTTCTGAATCATTCAATATTTTACACATAGAATCCTTTAATTTTGCAAGTCAAGGTTTGAATTTTTTTCTTCAGTCCCTGAGCTTGAGAAATGCTGAATGTCTTTCTAACTCCAGGTCTTTTATATATTTCATTATAATAGTTGACTTTGTCATCTTGAACTGTCCCTTGAAACTTTGCATCCAGCTCTTTTACCTCATTTCTTCCATTTGCTTTAGCATCCCTACTCTGGAAAGCAGGTTTCAGAGTCTCTTCTGACATCCATTTTGATCTTTTCTTTCTTTATTTTATTAATGACCTTTTGCTTTCTTCTGTATGATATTCTTGATGTCATCCAACAACTCTCCTGGTCTTTGGTTCTTGGTGTCTAACACATCAAACCTGTTCTTGAGATGGTCTCTAAATTCAGGTGGGATATGTTTAAGGCCATATTTTTGTTCTTGTGGACTTATTTTCATTTTTTTCAGCTTCAGCCTGAACTTGCATATGGGTAATTGATGGTCTGTTCCATGGTCTACCCCTGGCCTTGTTTTGGCTGATGATAAGGAGCTTTTCCACCATATCTTTGCACAGATGTACTCAATTTTATTTTTCTATGTTCCCTTTGGTTAGATCCATGTGTATAGTCACCTTTTATGTTGTTTTAAAAAGGTATTTGCAGTGAAGAAGTCTATCATGTATTCTCCAGCATAGTTTCTATCATCAAGACCATATTTTCCAACTACTGATCCTTCCTCTTTGTTTCCCACCTCTGCATTCCAATCACCAATAATTAACAGTACATCTTGATTATATGTTTGATCAATTTCAGACTGAAGAAATTGGTAGAATTCTTCTTCAATTTCCCCATCATAGGCTTTAGTGGCTGGTGTGTATATGTGAATAATAGTTGTATTAAGTGATCTTCCTGGGTCTATAGATATTATCCTATCTCAGGCAGCATCATACTTCAAGACAGATCTTGAAATGCTCTTTTTGATGATGAATGTAACACCATTCCTTTTCAATTTGTCATTCCTCACCTAATAAACCATGTGATTGTCAGATTCAAAATGACCAATATCAGTCTATTTCAGGATATCTGTGTTTATGCATTCTATTTAATTTTTGACAACTTCCAATTTTCTTAGATTCATACTTTGTACATTCCATGTTTTGGTTATTCATGGCTGTGCCCCAACAGTAAATGAAGGTCCTGAAAGCTTTACTTCATTGGTGTCATCATGGTCAACTCTGGTTTGAGGAGGCAGCTCTTCCTCATGTTTTGAGTGCCTTCCAACCTGAGGAGTTCCTCGTCTGGCACTGTATCTGACAATGTTCTGGTGCTCTTCATCATGATTCAATATTCAGTATTCTGGTACTAACTGATAGTGTTGCAATAGTATTCATAAGGTTTTCAGGGACTAAATATTCCGAAGTAGTCTGTCTCCTTCTTCCTTGTGTCTTAGTCTGAAAGTGCAACTGAAACCTGTCCACCATGGGTGACCCTGCTGGTACTTAAAATACCAGTGGCAGAGCCTCCAGAACCACAGCAATACACAACTCACCACAGTAGGACAAACTTGGCAGAAAATTCAAAACTTAGAGTTTTGGCAAGTTCCCTAGGTGGTTCTGTCTGGATTAACTAGTTTGTGGTGGACCCAGTTGAGGAAGATGGTGGCTTTGGGCTGGTTGGGACACATTTGCAATTGAAGAGCTCATGGAGTATGTGAGCAGAGATGTTGCAGAAACTTGCTGTGCATTAGTACAGTGCCGTTGTCCATAGCTGAAATCTAGACTCTGGTATTAGAGCACATGTAGGTAGTCCGTGCACTCCCAGTAAGTAATTTTGGAGTAAAATGGAAGGCAACGGCTGCTATTCCAGAGTCTTGGTGTGGTGCTCCAGGATAATGCACTGGACCTCATGGTGGGTTTGAATTGCAAGGTTTCACTCTCGGAAACCCTATAACAGGGTTGTTATCAGTCAGAACTGAAAACCCTCTACAGGATCGCTATCAGTCAGAAGCGACTCAATGACACCTAACAACAACAACAAGTGCTGTTCCAGAGAAGTCCTTAGGCTTCAAGGCTCTTCTCTTGGGATTCTTCCCCACCTGCCAAGGGGCAGTTAATGTCTCCTTTAATAACTCACTCCATTAGCAAACTTTTACTTTGAAGCTGCCTCCACCACTACTCCAACAGAGGAGGGACCGTGTCTTATTCTCATCCATCTCTTAGCAAATTGGGTGACTCGAACAGAAAATGATGAGGTAATTCGTAATGTTATTTTATCTGTATATCACATGTTTTTTCATTTATGTGTGTTTTAGACTTCTAGTACTTCCATAGAACTTTTCATTTTCATTCTGAGAAAGTTAAGTAATAAAACTAAGTAATTTTTGGAGTCCTGATGTGGCATCATGGGATAAGCACTTCACTTCAAGGTCAGTTTGAACTTCAAGGTCTGCATTCAGATTCACCAGCTGTTCCTTGGAAACCCTATATGGGGTCGCTATGAGTCTGAATGGACTTAATGACGCTTAACAAACACAACAACAAAAGTGATCTTTGGAGTCCTGGTGTGGTAGTCTAGGATAAGCACTGGATCACAAGGTCGTTTGAACTACAAGGTTGATGGTTCAAACCCACCAGTGGCTCCTTGGAAAGCTATGGGTTGGAGCCAGCTGCATGGTACACAACCACCACCATCCCCTAGGTGATCTTCCTTCCCTAGCCGAACTTGATGAAACAGGTAGATTTTCAACTTTCTCCCTTTTCAGCAACTGGCCACTCACCTATGGAAGCACAATGAGGCTTTGGAGGGACTGGAGAACGGGATCAAGGGCTCCCGGCGGCTGGAGCACTTCTGTAGAGACTTCGAGCTACAGAAGGTGTGTTACCTACCGCTCAACACCTTCCTCCTGCGGCCCCTGCACCGGCTAATGCACTACAAGCAGATCCTGGAGCGGCTGTGCAAACAGCACTCCCCGAACCACGCGGACTTCCGGGACTGCAGAGGTGAGCCACACCTTCCGCTGCAGGGATGTTGCAATAATCCCGGGTTGTCATGGTTCCATCTGTCAAACATTATCTGCTAAGTCTCCATCTTCCTGAAAGGAGGTAGTTAGTAAAGACCACCATGTCCTCTTCCCACCTCCCTTTCTCCTGGTCCTGTGTGAAGAGCCCTGAGGAGCTCCACTGGAAAGACAGATCCCCCCACCCCGAAGTTTTATTTCGCTTACACAGCTGACACTCATCATTCCTTCCTCATTTCCTTGCCTCTGGAAAATGGCTTCTAATTCTACCATTGGTCACTGGTGCTGGCATTTGTGATGTCCCAAATGACCAAACCCAAATCTGACCTCATGTGTAGCCCGGGAGAGTTTTCTTGACAGTGATCTTTACAGAAACAGGCAGTTCAAACCCACCAGGCGGCCTTTATTCCTCAGCACTGCCCAGTAGTGAGTTCAAACTACAAACCAACTTTTTATAATATACCAAGTCAGCTTAATAAGCACTTTATATGAATGCTTCATCTTCACAAGAATCCATTTTACAGATGAGAAATATGATACCAGAGAGGTTAAGTAGCTGGCCCAGATCACACAGCTGAGACATAAAAGATGTGGCACCAAAGTTCTGAGCTCTGACTCTTCATTGCTGCCCGATTGTTACTAACCACTGTCGCTGTGGAGCACCTGCCAAGGGCCAGGCCCGGTGCCATGTATGTCACTTACATTAATGCTGTTACCCTTTGAACTCCCTCCCCTGAGATAAGCATCCTTATCCCATGTAACAGGTAAGGAAACTGAGGCTTGTTGTTGTTGTTAGGTGCCATCGAGTCAATACCGACTCAGAGAGACCTTATGCACAATAGAATGAAACACTGCCCGATCCTGGGCCAACCTCACTACTGTTGCCATGCTTGAGCCCCTTGATACTGCCACTTAGCCCATCCATCTCTCTGGGGGTCTTCCTCTTTTTCTCTGACCCTTCACCTTACCAAACATGATATCCTTCTTCAGTGACTGGTCCCCCCTGACAATATGTCCGAAGTATGAGAGACGAAGTTTGGCCATCCTGGCCTCCAAGGAGCACTCTGGCTGCACTTCTTCCAACACAGATCTGTTGGTTCTTTTGGCAGCCCATGGCACTTTTCAGTATTCTTCTCCAACACCATAACTCAAAACTGAGGCTTAGAGTGGATAAAGGACCTGCCAGGATCGTTCAGTTGGTCACAGGTCACAGCTGGTTCCCCCCACTATGCCTTACATTCTCTTTTTGAACCTAAGTAGTTCTGTCTCATGTTGTATGTGGTCTGTGACTCTCTTCACTGCTGCATTGAGGTCACACATTCTATATTACAGTGGGCTCTCAGCAAATGTACTTTGAACAGATCCCATGAATTTGCGCACCCACTGGTATGTACAACTGGTGTCCTGGTGTGGCAGTTTTAGGATAAGCACTGGACTTAGTAGCCTCAAAGTCTGCGGTACAAACCTACCAGCTGCTTCTTAGAAGCCCTACACAGGGTCATTCTGAATCAAAACCCACTTAGTGTCACTTAACAATAGAAGCATGTTCCACTAATCACTGTGGTAGCACTATAGGATATGCATTGGACTGCTAACCTCAAGGTTGGCAATTCAAACCCACCAGCTGCTCCACAGAAGGCGAGTGAAGCTTTCTGCTCCCGTAAAGATTTATAGCCTCAGAAACCCTGTACAGGATCACTATGAGTTGGAACAGACTTGATGGTAGTGAGTTTGGTGTTTGAGAACATTTTGAGGCCCTTGTATCTTACCTAAAATATTCTAAGTATCTCTTCTCTCTCAGACCACTCCTGTCAGCTTTTGAAAATCCCTCTTTTACTTCTTTGCTTAAAGCTTGTGTGGTACCTGATTCCCACAGGAACTCATTCTTCCTGATCTGGCCTCCTTGATACCCCCCGCTACCACCCCCCCGTAGCATGTTTATTTTGAGCAATGGCTGTTTCCGCGTGTAGCAGAGAGAGAACAGAAGGGGTGTGGCCCCTGCCCACATTCTCACAGGTACACAGACAAGTACCGGGCAGTGGCTGACTCTGAGGGCCGTGAGAAGAGGGCGAGCAGTGCAGGGCATCGATTTGGCTGTTTGGGCCTAGAAGAAACATGCTGAATGTGAGACCCTCTTAAGTGTAGAACTAAAGTGTAAATGTTGTTGAGTGCCTTCGAGTCAATTCCAACTCATGATGGCCCTATATAGGGTTTCCAAGGAGCGGCTGGTGAGCTTGAACCAGCGATATTATAGTTCAAACAGACCTTGCAGTCCAGCACATTACCTCACAGCACCACACCAGGTTTCAAATAGGAGGGTTTTATTTTGGTTGAGGGGAGGACATGAAAAATAGTTAGGGTCTTAAAGAGGCAGAGACGATGGAACATTCCCGAAAGTAAAAGACGTTTCTTGTGGCTAGAGTGTGGAACACAAAGGGATAAAACCAAATGGTGAAACTGCAAAAGTAGACTGGGCCCTGATCCCACAGGATCTTACTAACCCTGTCAGACTTAAGAGCAAAGGAAAGAAACAAGATTTGAAGGATTAGGCTTGTTCTAGAAGGACCCCTCTATTGTTATTGTTAGGTGCCATCAAGTCGGTAACCTACTCATAGCGACTCTATGCACAACAGAACGAAATACTGCCCAGTCCTGGGCTAACCTCACAATCATTGCTATGTTTGAGCCCATTGATGCTGCCACTGTGCCAATTCATCTTGCTGAGGGTCTTCCTCTTTTTCTCTGACCCTCCACTTTACCAAACATGATACCCTTCTCCAGTGACTGGTCCCGCCTGACAATATGTCCAAAGTATGAGAAACGAAGTTTGGCCATCCTGGCTTCCAAGGAGCACTCTGGCTATATTTCTTCCAACACAGTTCTGTTGGTTCTTTTGACAGTCCATGGTACTTTCAGTATTCTCCAACACCATAACTGAAATGCATCAGTTTTTCTACAGTCTTCTTATTCACTGTCCAACTTTCGCATGCATGTGAGATTATTGAAAATGCCATGGCTTAGGTCAGGCACACCTTAGTCATCAAACTGACATCTTTGCTCTTTAACACTTTAAAGAGAGGTTAGTTTCTACAATATATAAAGGACTTATACAAATTAAAATTTAAGAAGACAGCCCACTGAAAACTTGGCTAAATAGAACATTGGCAGTCCATGGAGGTTGAACAGACTAACGAATGGCTGGGACTGCTAGAGACCATCAGTCTTGAAAGCAAATCCTACAGTCTCTCGACTCCATATCTTGATAAGCTCTGTTTCTTCTGCTTAAACTTACTACCTCCACCTCTTTTTCCTTTTGTGGCAAACTCGTTTGTCCAGCAAGCCTCCATGTGTGCCTTGAAGTTGAGGGGACCTCCCCACCTTGTCCTATTGGATTGTCACTGCCAGTCCTGGATGAGATGATGTAAAGCCCCTCCCAGCTCTAAGGACTGTACAGATTGTCACCCTGATTACCCATGAGGGTGAAGGAAAGTTGCAGTTTTGTGTGTGTCTTTCTTGGCAGATTTACCAAGTTTTCTTTTTATTACTTTTCTAAACAGTCCCTGATAGAAATAGTCTTTCATTGACAATTAAATGGAAAACTGTCTTGGTACCTAGCTTTTAAACATCAGGAGGCATCATTATAGAAAAGTTGGGAAGGACAAGGTGTAACTGGACATATATTCCCTGAATGTGCTACAGATGCCAACAGCTGCTCCAAGCATGCCTTGCCCCATGAGCACCTGGGAGGCAGGACGCCATTTTTTTTCTCTTACTCCCATCCAATCAGCATTTGGTTTCCAGTAAATGCTTTTTTTTTTTTTTTTAAGCAAGAATGCACAATGCTTCAGGGTAGGAGTAGGGGGCATTATTGAGTTGATGTTAATGGTGGTGAAGTAGTTTGGAAAAGGATGTATATAGTGGTGATCCAACAAGAAAACAGTCTTCAGTGTAACTGAATTGTGAAAGTGGACATTGTTGTATTGGTAGATGTTCTGGTGTGTGGATTTTCACTACAAGTAAAACAACAACAAAACTGTCAATGCTCAGCTACTATGGCTTTGAGTGTTCCTCCCAACTTGCATTATTAACTAGTGGATGGCTTACCATCTGAGAGAGAAATGCTAGTTTTTAGAAATAAATTTTAATTTCATGGTTACTCTTCTGCAATAATCTTGGTAAACAAGAATCATGTCAGCAGACAGAATAGGTGTACTGGAATCATGGTTGTTGATGGTGAAGTGCTTAAAGAGTGACAGGTGGGTTTGAACCGCCAACTTTTCCGTAAGCGGTCCAGTGCTTATCCTACATTGGCACATAATACAAAAGTGTTGCCAGTATCTATTGGACCCCCTCACAAAATGAGCCTCCTTCACCCCAAACTTTTCTGTGGCGTCTTTGTGTTCATGGTGCTGAATTCTTGACAGGTCTGGGGAGGGAAGAAAAATCTCTACCCTGAGAACCAAAACCTAGATTCTCTTACTCTCCTGCCTCTTGAGCCAACAAATTATCCTAATTAAAGGACAGCTGTATGCCACATCGCTATAAATGGGTCATTTACACAGGCCAGATGCCCTTGGGAAATGAAAGCGAATGCAAACATAAAGTCATTCACTGCAATTTTTATTAGAGAGAAATTTTTTCCTGGAAGCACAGCTTCCTGCTACTACAGGATGTAACCCTTAAGAGATGAGCTTTCAAGCTATTGGGGCGGGGGAGACTCTTGTCTCTCATTAATGCGGCCACTTTGATGTCATTTCCCTTCATCAGCTGCGTTGGCAGAGATCACTGAGCTGGTGGTACAGCTCCACAGTACGATGATCACCATGGAGAATTTCCAGAAACTGCATGAACTCAAGAAAGACTTGATAGGCATCGACAATCTTGTGATCCCAGGAAGGGTAAGCGGAAGGGGTCTCTCTCTGCTAGAAACGAGACCTTTTATGCAACTGAAATTTGAACCCTTTGAATACTAACACTCCCAAATCAAAATATCCTCATTTCAGAATTGCCTTCCATCCACATGGGAGACAATTGAGAAACCACCTCACACATTACTTGTGTTGTTAAAAATTATCACGTTGGAAGATACAGGACTCCTTTATCGTGTTGTGTTCTCCTTATTGTTGATTTGCTTTTTTCCCTCCCATATTCCAAGAGAGGATTTGAGATAGCTTATACTTTGTTTTTTTTCAATTTGGTAAATGGAAGTTAAAATCTTTTTTTAAATTGGGTAAAGCCAGAGAAAACTTTGGCACATGAAAACATGTTGTAAAGTCACAGGCAAGTATGAATTTTCTGTACGTAATTTAATTTCAACTAGAAATTAAAATAACATTTTAACCAGAAAACAATTCTGGGAGTGATACATGTTGGTTACTAACTTTCACCTACCCAGCATCCTCCACTACGTGCAGGTCATTCACAATTAAAGAGGGGTTCCTGACAAACTCACACTTCTTTCAGGTCTAGGGGACTATAACAATTGTAACATAGTATGCCTTTTTTTTTTTTTTTTAAGTTTCCTTCCTATGAAGCTGTCATTGCCCAGGAATGAAAAATTCAGTTTCTGCATCTTTTCAAGTCTCTTCATGGGCTCTTTAACCCTTTAACCTTTCAAACCACACATCACCTGGGCTCACCGAGTAATTTGAACCTCTTTGATCTCCTGTCTGTCTGCCTTTCCTTCCAGACAGGTATCAGTGATTCAGGGAATTCATTTTATCTGACAAGTGACTGCCCTGGAAGGTTAGGAGAGATGAGGGATCCTCCCTGTGTATTGGGTTATTTCTGTCAGAAAGCCTAAGTATAAAACTGACCGGAAGACAACTTGTGGGAGATTGTCTGAAGAGTTATGTGGGAAGAAGCGGGGTGGAAATTAAAGCTGGGATTTGCTTCAGCTCTGCTGGTGAGAAAATTCTGGCAGGCCTCAGCACATAACCACCACGTTCCATCATCCATGTGGAGCCCTTAGAAAAGCTCTGTGGAAACTAAGTTTTTCTCTTCATTTTGAATGCTATAAAATATTTTGCCTACTGCAGGATTTGTAAAGAATTTAATACTTTGAGGAAACAGTTTTCATGTTTCCTCATAACAAAAAAGTTTCATATAACAAAAAAGAACATTGGGCTGGAGTATAAAGACCTGGGTTTATGTTCACGCTCCCCTAGAACTGGGATTGTTCGCTCACCAGAATGGCTTGCAAGCTAAGAGGAATGCATTCTTTTGAATGAAACCGAACAGAATGGAAGCAGGGGCTGAAAGGGGAAACATCCTTTTTTTTTTTTTTTTTGTCAACCAGTATACCCTGTATTTCTCTCTGAAGGGGAGCAGCTTGAAGCTTAGGACGGACATTCAGGGCCTTTGCTTATTTGTTCCCAGGGTTTAAAAAAAAAAAAAAAAGTCATTCTTGGTGAGAGTCTTGGATCTACATGCTCTCGGCTTCCTGCTGCTGCGGGAGACCATACTGCCTTTTCTAACTCTGGGAGTGCTCCCAGCCATGCTGCCTCCACAAGCTGCATCCCATCAGAACAGCTAGAAAATGTCCATGAGCATGAGCAGAAGGGAGAATTTTAGAGTTAAGGTTCCTCATTTTCTGTTACCTGCATTTTGAAAGCAGTTCCCCTAAAACACCATGTCCTCATATAATACTGTTGATGTCTAACATCATCCAAGAGCCCTGGGAGTGTAGTGGGTTATGCAAGGTCAGCAGTTCCAATCCACCAACTGTGTCTTCGGAGAAAGATGAGAATTTTGGCTGCCGTAAAGATTTATAGCCTTGGAAACCCTATGTTGTTGTTATTAAGTGCCATGGAATCGGTTCCGACTCACTGCAACTCTTAAGGTTTCCAAGGAGCAGCTGGTGAGTTTGAACCAATGACCTTGCAAACCTACCTTGAAGTCTAGTGCTTATCCTGTGGCACCACACCAGGACAGGATCACTATGAGTCAGAACTGAGTCATTCATACCTAACAATAACAACATAATCGGAAGATGCTTAATCGTATTTGTTTGTACTTTAATGCATTTAACTTTGTTGATCATAACAAACTATGGATAACATTGCAATGAATGTTAACTCAGACTTAATTGTGCTCATGAGGAACCAGTACATAGATCAAGGGGCAGTTTTTGAACTAAAACAGATGCTGAATGGTTTAAAACCAGGAAAGGTGTGTGTTAGGGTTTTACCCTTACACCGTATTTACTTAATCTGTGTGCTGAGCCCACAGTCTGAGATGCTGAATTATGTGAAGAAGAATGTGGCATCAGGATTAGAAGAAGACTTATTAGCAACCTGCGATTTTCAGGTGATACAACCTTGTTTGCTGGAAGGGAAGAGGACTTGAAGTAATTACTGATGAAAATCCAAGACTATAGCTTTCAGTATGGATTTCACCTCAATACGATGAAAATGAAAATCCTCACAACTGGATCAATAAGTAACATCATGCAAGACAAAGGATTGAAATTGTCAAAAGACTTCATTTTGCTTGCATCCTCTATCAATACTCAGAGGCAGCAGGGAAAAAAATAAAATGACATGTTGCATTGTACAAAAGCTTCAAAATGTTAAAAAGCAAACGTGTCACGTTGAGGACTAAGGTGCACCTGACCCAAACCATGGTATAGTCAATAGCCTCATATGCATGTGCAAGCTGGACAATGAATAAGAAAGACCAGAGAAGAATCTATGCATTTGAAATACGGTCTTGGTGAAGAAGAGTGCAAGTTCAACTCATGGCCAGAAAAACAAAGAAATCTGTTTTGGAAGAAATGGCTGGATTGCTCCTTAGAAGTGACAATAGTGAGACTTCCTCTCTTGTACTTTGGACATGTTGTTGGGAAGGACCCTCCTCTGGAGAAGGACATTGTTTGGTAAAGCAGAGGGTCAACGATGAAAAGGAAGACCCCTGATAGATGGATTGGCACAGAGGCAACACCAATGGGCTGAAATACTAGGCCGGCGCAGGACCAGGCAGTGTCTCACTCTGTTGTATCTGGTTGGTACAATCCAACACCCAACAATAACACACCCAGCATTCCTTGTGTCAAGTTGGTACAATCCAACACCAACAACAACACACCCAGCATTCCCTGGAGCTCTCCATGTATCGTGGCATCCATCTTTGCCTAGATCTGGGAGCGTCACCGTGCAGGGACGCCAGTGCAAAGGACATACTCCACTCCAGGGTCTTCTTTTTGGTGACAGTAGGGCCGTCTTTCTCTGCTCGCTTCTCTCGTTTTATCTCTTGTTAAAATGCTGTTACAGACCACAACCCTCGGAAGCTCCCTTTCATCTGACCAGCATTGTGATGGGATTCAAAGTATCAGCCAATGCTTAGTCCTTTTATTGGTTTACCACATCAGATCACATGATAAGGAATCCTCAGAGAACAGTCACATTACATCATCAGAGAACTGCCAAACCATCTGATTCAGGACCCAGCCAGACTGACACGTATTTTAGATGGACACAATCCAATTTATAACAACGCACAAAAGAAATGAAAAGATATTCAAACAAAAACTTATGTTCTTTGCAGAGTCCTGCTCACTGCAAGGCTGGTGGTTCAAACCTATCAGCCGCTCCTTGAAAACCCTATACAGGGTTGTTGCGAGTCTGAACTGACTTGATAGTACTTAACAACAATGCGCATTGTAGCACTATCCACAATTGTCAGAAGGTACAAACAGCTGATGAGTCCATCGTGCATAAAGGGATAAACAAACTGTGGCCTATCTATCTATCTATCTATATGTGTGTGTGTGTGTGTGTATGTATATATAACATGCACTGGTATATTATTCTGCTATAAAAAGGAATAAAGTGTGGTGAAACTTGACAACATTATCCTAAGTGAAAGAAGCTCAAAGGGCCCATATTGTATGATCCGATTGATGTAAAATACCCAGGATGATCGTTCATCTATTCAGAAAACAGATTGCTGCGAAAAGGGACATGAAGAGCTAAAATCTATATATGTTGTTGTTGTTGTTGTTGTTAAGTGCCGTCGAGTCGGGTCCGACCCATAGCGACCCTGTACAGGGTTTCCGAGGGTGTAAATCTTTACGGGAGTAGAAAGCCTCATCTTTCTCCCGCGGAGCGGCTGGTAGTTTCGAACTGCTGAGCTTAAGGTTCGCAGCCCGATTCGTAACCACTACACTACCAGCTTTTCCTTTTAGGCAGGTCAAATGTTCTAGAACTAGGTGGTAATGATGGCTCCACAGTATTGTGAATGCACTTAAGTTTTTTGTATTCTAAGAAACATGTACCCCAGGATGGCCCATGCCCTGTACAGCTGAGTCTCAGGGAAGATTTATTTTGAAATGCAGAGCTTTGTAGACACCCTTCCTCTCAAACATTTCTCTTCTAACCCAGGGACAGGTTTTGAAAACCAGTTTCAATCCTAGAGAAGATGCCTCGACTCATAAAACTAGTTGTGTCAAGTCAACTCTGGCTTAAGGCCACCCCTGTGTGTCAGAGTGGAACTGCGCATTGTGGGTTTTTCCGAAGTAGACAGCCAGGCCTCTCTTCTGAGGTACCTCTGGGTAGATGCCAACCTCCTATCTTTCAGTTAGCAACTGAGCACCTAACTGCACATGACCTCACCTCCACACTCAGGACTTGCAAGTAACTTGCAGCGTTCCACTTTCCCTTGCCACTCTTTAGACCTCTGACTTCTTTGAAGCCTGGTTGGGGTCCTTGTCATCCCCCTCTTACTATGGGGGAGCCCCATAGAGCCTAGTGGGTAAGTTCATTGGCATTGTCCTCAGAGAGGCCTGAGTTTGAATCCCGCCTCCCAGCATAAGGGCTGGGCAGCCCTGGACAAACGGCTTAGCCGCTTCTACTAAAGCAAGTTGATCCTAGTACTTGTCTCAGAGGGTTCTGGGGAGAAAGAATGCTTCAAAAAGTTTGTGGAAAATGGAATGGAAAAACAAAGGAATTTTCCCATAAACTTTAAAAAACCCCTTGTAGTAACTGCAAGTGGAGTCCTGGTGTGCGGTGCTGTAGGATGAACATTGGACTAACTAGCTGCTCCTTGGAAACCTGTGATTCAGAATGTAACTAATGACTGTCATTTTTGACATGAAGAGGGACCGTGGCCTGAGGAAGTTGGATGCTCCTTATTTAGACTCTTGTGCTTTGGTTTCTCCACAGGAGTTCATTCGCCTGGGAAGCCTGAGCAAGCTGTCTGGGAAGGGGCTCCAGCAGCGCATGTTTTTCCTGGTGAGTGATGGGAACGGCTGTGTCCTCACTGTGATCTGGCAAAACACACAAGAGACAGTCCCTGGGTCAGGACCCCAGCACCCAAGGGCAGACCTGGGTGTGGAGGAGCAGCAGCCACTGGGATAAAGTAACTGTAACGAAGGATTTCATAACATACTGACAACAGCCTGTTCAGGTTTCTGCTGGAACCCCTTTATCTCAGAAGCACTTTTTCTTGCTCCTCTAGTTCAATGACGTCTTGCTATACACAAGCAGAGGGCTGACAGCCTCCAATCAGTTCAAAGTCCACGGGCAGCTCCCTCTCTACGGCATGACTGTGAGTATGTGTGTGCGCACCAGCTCTGGCCTTCCCCTCTTGGCTGCCTTGAGATGTTTAGACCAGTTAACCAT